GGTGTCTTTCCTTTTGTTATATTTCTTTAAGAGTTCGAAATGTGTTAATTACATAAATTAAATGTAATTTTCTCTGTAGCACTTCATGGATTTCATAAGCAACAAACCTTAGTTGCTCTGTGGATTCTTTTAAAAAGCAGTTAAAAACTTTTCTGTTCAAACAAGCCTTTTGTTGATCTACATATTTTACATTCTTTACATTATTTACATTTGATCTTTTACATTGTGTATAATTTCTATTGATTGTATTGTTTATTTTAATATTTGTGTATAGCGCTTTGTGACTGTCTGTCTGTGAAAAGCGCTTAATAAATAAACTTTACTTACTTAAGTTGTTCACACAAAGCATAAAGGTAAAAAAAAAAAACAATATATACAGTGTTATCTTCATTTTAGATTTCAAAAAGTATTTGCGGCTCCCAGTGTTTTCTTTTGTGTGGAAACCGGGTCCAAGTGGCTCTTTGGGTGTTAAAGGTTGCTGACCCCTGGACTAAACCAAGTAGTGAATGTTCCCTTGCATGAAAGACTGAGAGGAATCGTTACTCACTCTGACCACTCAGTCACGTAGCAAAACATGAGACGGCGAGCGTGATAAGGCAGCCAGCAGACCACAAAGGCTATGACCACAGCTCCTGAACACAAGGAAGAGGGGAAGCGTTAGAAACCAGTAACTAGGCAAACAGACACAGAAAAACAGAAAATTGATTTGTTAATAGAAAATACTCATGTGCACACTGTGCAGGATGTTGACACAAGTAATTAGGAATCAGGCTTAAACAAATGCTTTGATTGTTGATTTATATCAAGGACATCAGAACAAAGAAACCAGTGAACAGAACAGTATTGTGACAATGTGTATAAATTTCCTGTACACATCACTGAAATTATTTTTCAGTTGAATTTTTGAAATCAAAAACCACATGGATTGAATCCAGTATCTCCTGCCATAATTTGTTAACAACCAGATGATTTATTTTGTAATAAAAGAGATACCTTTTTATACTGGATACTGGAAATTCCCTGCACTGATTATTTATCATGTTCATGATGACACACTATTTCAATCAGCTGGCAAATATTTCAGTTTCACTTAAAACTCAGAGTAGATAATGCTGTTGGAGTCTTTCTGATCCAAAAGGGACTCATACACTGTCAAAAATATTCAGGTAGAATATTTATTTTTAATAACTGGACAGGATCATAAATGTTCTGCTCAAACCAATACAGAGAGACTGAGACAATAAACACTATTATCAGCACTATGTGCTTAATTTATTTGATTAATTTACCCCTTTTTCCTGCAGATCTTTGCAGCTCGACCAGTCTGTATCTGTTTTTATGGAACCTCCATAATTGCTATAGTAATTACTATACTACTGAAGTATAGTATTTGAGTGGCCCTTAGCTCATGCAAATGTTTACCTTATGTGGACCTTGTGGTTAAGTTTGTATAATTCAATACTTGAAAAATTTATGTAAAAGTCAGACAGAACAAAAGAACCATTAATATTAGCTATATTTAAATTAGTTGTACATCATCAGTTGCATTATATATGACTGAAATCCTTGTAAGAAAATGGATGAAATAAACTCAGAGACTGAGAGAATGATACAAAGTTTATTGATAAAAGTTGAGCAAGGGAATTTACATATAGAAAAAAAAGTGCAATGAACCCAGAGTTTACTACTTTGCTGGATTCCATCCAACAGAGTACATAAATACCTTCAGAACTCATCACCGCACAAGGGTATTTGATTTGGAGTAACACAGGAGGGAAGAAAGACTCCTAGTTCAGTATTCTTTGGTCACTGGATACAGCATACTGGGGACCACTGTATTTGACCATATGGAAAAACTGCTTTGACGACCTCTTAAATCTTGCAAAATGCTGTCAGTGTCAGTGTCACATAAACTCTTTTTTCCCAAAAGAGTAGAGTACCTAGAGTAGTAGTAAAGAGTTGGCAGTTTGTCTTGTAATCGGAAGGTTGCCGGCTCGAGCCCGTCTCGGTCGTTGTGTCCTTGGGCAAGACACTTCACCTACCGCCTACTGGTGTTGGCCAGAAGGGCCAATGGCGCGATATGGCAGCCTCGCTTCTGTCTGTCTGTCCCAGAGCAGCTGTGGCTACAACTGTAGCTTGCCTCCACCAGTGTGTGAATGTGAGAGTGAATGAATAGTGGAATTGTACAACGCTTTGAGGACCCGAAAAGCGCTATATAAACGCAATCCATTATTACCTAGATATGGTTGACAATTAAAGTTGAAAGAATAAATGTGAAACTTGCATTGGATCTCAGCTATAGCTATCCCCAAATATCAGATTACTGTATACCTGACATGTAAGTTCACATCTCAGACAACCTCACCTGGACCACCAACACCACCTCCATCACCAAAAAGGCCCAGCAGCGCCTCCACTTCCTGAGACGTCTGAAGCAGGCCAACCTCTCTCCTCCCACCCTCACTACGTTCTACAGGGGGACCATAGAGAGTGTTCTGACCAGCTGCATCTCCGTGTGGTTTGGAAACTGCAATGTTGATGATCTTAGGAAACTACAACGGATTGTTAAAGCAGCTACCAAGATCATTGGAACATCCCTCTGCTACAGGTCATCTTTCAAATCGCTGCATCAGTAAGGCCTCAGGCATCGTGCTCGACCCGTCACACCCTCACATGGACTCTTTTCTCTCCTCCCATCAGGCAGACACTACCACAGCATCGAGGCCAGATCCATCAGACTCCTGAACTCACTACCAGCCCTCCCTTTCTCCCACCACACACACCCACACAATCTGTTAACTGACTTTTTTTGCACTTTGCACACCACTACCTCTGTAAGACACGCTACTCTATGGACAATTTATGCTGCCCTATGAACAATCTTCTTCACTCTGGGTTTACAAGCTGCTACACTGGTCACTTTAAACCACACCAACTGTAAATTGTAAATTGTAAATTCTAATTGTAACTCTCAAGCGGATATTTATTTATTTTCTTCTAATTTTTATATCTATTTATTAGCTTGCTTTGCACTGATGAAACCAGAGCCTCATCGTCTCATCTCTCTGTATGCTGCACTGGATATAGCAGAGATGACAATAAAGTTTACTTTCACTTTGACTTTGACTTAATTATTGAATGATTGAATTATTGTTTTTACTTTTGCTGTAAAGATCAGTGAAAGTGTAAGTTTCTTGAAAAGTATAGACATGTGTGTACTTAGTGATGAAACATAAGTGTAACATTAAATGTGTGAAGATCGTTATTTTGGTCTTTGGGCCGGGCCATTTTGAAGTTGTAGAGCTTGTTAGCGTTGTGTTATGGTAAGCTGTCAACAGGTTTTGGACCCATTATGCAGGACTCAGGAAATGGGCAAACTGAAAACACCTGGGGAGCACAGCTGAACAGCTATTCCACTGTCACCTACTCCACAGGTGAGGGCAGCCATGGCCAAGTCCTCCTCTGCACCGGAATCTGTTCCTTGAGTGGAGGCAACTGGTATCTGGACTGTTCCGGCGCCTGTCCCTGTTCCTAGGGTGGGGGCAGCTGACACTCAGCCTGTCATTGCACCCACTGGGAGGGGGTGGCTGGTGTTCGGCAAGCACCAGCACTGTATCCATTCCCATGAGGAAAATGGCCAGCACTCCACAGTAGCCTTAGCTGTGGAGTCGTGTGCAGGGGGTGTGATCTGCACAACTTTAGCCAACTCTGCCTCCACCTGTCTCAGCTGGGAGCTCAGCTGAGCAGTCTCATTGTTCTGTCTCTGCTGAGAGCTTGAGCGAGCCAACCCAGCCACCTGTGTCATCTGCTGGGAACTCAGGCAAGCTTATCCAGCCAGATATGACCTCCACATCTCCACATCACCATCTGGTTCTGCTCCAACAGAGCTCTCCGCACCATCTGGTTCTCATCCTGTTCCACTAGAGGTTTCTGTGCCGTCTGGTCCAGCCATGTTTCCACCAGAGGTCGTTGCGCTGTCTGGTCTGCACGCCTGCCAGATCACATCCTGCGCGGCATGCATGTCCACATCCTGCTCAGCCACAGCCTGCACGTACTCCTTCTCCTCCTCGGCCATCAACCAACCACACCATCACAGGCCACCTTCCAGACCACCTGAAGTTTTATTTGGCGCCGCCATCGTCCTCCAGATCTGTGGGCTAAGGAGCCTCACCATCAAGGACAAACCCCAGACCTGCCCTGGAGTTGCCGCCGCTTTCCATGTGATCGGCCTCCTGAATCATCTCATCGCTGCTGCTTCTCATAAGGCTTTTGTATTTTTAACATGTTTTAATGCTTTGTATCTTGTTCTATTTAATCTCAACATGCCCCTAAAACAGTCTGTGATCACTGTCGGCCTCTCTCATTTTTATTACCGCTAATCATCAATCAATCAAGTTTAGTTTTTAAAACCTTAAGATGTAACTACAGCCCAGCCCGTGCAGCAGTATATTAATGACTAACCTCGTTTTGTGGATGGATTATCTCAGTTGTTCTCCTGGCTGAAGTTTCGTCCATTTACAGAATTCTGCCATGCGATTGCATTTGTCCCTGACCATCGGGAACCCTTAACGTTAACTTTTATCGAGTGGAAAAAAGTTAGCGTTCATCCTCCAGCTTCACTGTTTATATTATGCTAACATAGCTATGTCACTAGTGATCACGTAGCACATTGTTATATACCAGCTAGCCAAACTTCAGTAACCCTACGAATGCCACTGCTGTTTAGTTCTGTCTTCATTTATGTCGGAAGTGATAGCAGAGCTGTAAGTTTTAAATGTTTCAGAAATCCCTCAGTCTGAACATGGTATATTATATTTAGATGGAAACTAGCAAGCTAACTCCCTGCTAACTTCCAACTCCATTAAATTTAATAAAATCTGTTTTCATGGATGCCTGGATGTTAAACTTAATTATTACACACTGATCAGAGAGCAGCCACACTGATCATTTTATTACAGATGAAAGAATTTAGACAGTTTTTCAACTCTCAGTGATGCTGCAGTGATTGTTTTACTTGGGGACCTGCAGCAGAGTTTGGGCCCAGACACAGCTAATGACGTCAGACTTAAAGACCTGATAGTTATAACTTGGTATTTTAAAGATTGGTGGTTCAATTCCTGGCTCCTCCAGTCCGCATGCCAAGCATGCAAGACACTGAACCCCAAGTTACTTTCTGATACATTCATCAGAGTGTTACTGTTAGAAGGAAGGCACTTACGTATAGAAAAAGTGCTTGTGTGAATAAAGCACTTTGAGTGCTCAAGTAGACTAAAGTGCTTTATAAGAACCAGTCCATTTACTTGTGTGACACAGACTTGACATCAGGCTGAACTCATTGATTTCACCACAAAACATTTTTATTCACATTTAGTTTATAGTTAGTGATTCAACAAAGTTTGTGATCTCCCTAGGTTAATTATCTATTACCTCAAAATCCCAGTGTGGCTAAATAATTGGTGGCAGTTGCTGCTGATAATGCCTACTGTTGTCATTTATGTCTGCTGGTTTCCTAGCAGCTTCTTAAAGATCCCCGCTGTCATATCCAGAATGCAACATAATGTATGTAGTTAAAGAAACTTCTCTAAACTGTGTTTATTGTTCTCTGTTATTTCCTATCACTGCATGATAGGCA